GATCACCCGATTTAACGTCGCTAGATTTTTTTTCCTGTGGGGACATGTAAAGTCATTAGTTTACGAAACTCCAGTAGAAATAGAGCAAGACTTAATTGGACGAATTACAGCAGCATTTGAAATCATTAAACTCGTCTATCAAATTTTTAGTCAAGTCCGCAGAAATCATGAGCGACGTTTAAATCGGTGTATTCAGGTTGGAGGATGACATTTTGAACAATTGTTGTGATGATATCATGTACAAAAGGAAAAAATTAAATGCATTAAATCCTATTTAGGCAATTCATCCTCTTTCTAAATTTTAAGGGGTCTTAGGCCCGCAGTGCCACTTTTCCGGAGGGTCCCTATACTCAAATGTTTTCTACTGTTACACTGAATAACCCTTAGAAGTTTGATACCTTAGTTCTGAAACCCCCTGTACGTCATAACAAGAAAAGAAAAAAATTTGACAAAAAATCAAAACGGATTTAGAAAACAATGTTCCACAGAAACAGCAATCCAAATGGTGGTGGAGGACTGGAGAAGAAGTATAGATGAGAAAGAATGTATTGTAACAGTATTTTTAGACTTCAAAAGGGCATTTGAGACTATAGATAGGAAAAATTGTTAATGAAATTGCATGATTATGGCTTTAAAGGATCAGTATTAAACATTTTACAAAATTATTTAGCAAATAGAAGTCAAAAAACCAAAGTTGGAAATATTATGTCAAGTGTTCATTATATATCAGTAGGGATGCCACAGGGGAGTAAATTAGGGCCCCTTACTATTTATTATTTATATAAATGATATTTCTGACATTTTAGAACACTGCAAAATTCAAATATTTGCGGACGATACATTGATATACATATATAGCACATAAGCATTTGGACACTGCTTTAGAACTATTAAATAGTGATATTAAAAAAGTTATGAATTGGTTAAATGTCAATAAACTTGAATTAAACAATAAAAAACAAAATGTATGTCTATAGGAAATCATTTAGTTGGCAATACAATTAGGCACAAAATTAATGATGAAAAAATGGAAGTAGTAGAATCATTTAAATATCTTGGTATATATGTGGATAGTAAACTGCTGTTTCACGAGCATTATGAATACATTATTTCCAAAATATAAAAAAAAGTACTTCTATAGAGTTTCCCATAATCTTAGTATGTATTCCAAAAAAATTGTGTATAACACTATAATTCCCCTTTCTTATATTGTTCAACCATCTTGTTTACAGCAAATGAAAACATATTTTCAAAATTACAAATTCTACAAAATAAAGCTATGAGAATCATTTTAAATAAAAACAAATATACTAGAATTAAGACTATGTTAGAAGAACTGCAGTGGTTGAATGTGAAAAATTTCATATATTATTCAGTTCTCGTTTTCATATTCAAATTAAAAAATCATGTATTACCACCACATTTAAAAAACTTCACAAAAGTAAGTAGTATATCATAACTACAAAACTAGTGACAGTATAGATTTTCATCTGCAAAATTGTAATAGTAGCATAACTAGTAAATCTATAATTCAAAAGGGAGTATTTGAATTTAATAAATTGAATAATGATATTAAACAGTGTTCGAATTTAAAAATGTTTAAGGTGAAATTAAAAAATCACTATGAATAATCAAAACGCATAGTGAAGTAATTTGAATAGGACAAGAATGTAAAATTACAGTAAATAGATTGAAGAAAAATATGTAACTCAATCATTATACAAAATTTACATTGTAGCATTAATGGTAAATAAATCTTCAACAACAAAAAATCATTTATGAGAAAAACCGGACAATAACCATAATGAATAATCCTCACTATATTGTACTTACTTTGGATATAATAAGATATGTACAGCTTTGTATATGTGCATTTTACGAAACTTGGCGATGATTAAAACTTATATGTTTCTAACATATCCTTCAGTGGTATCTTGAATAGTGTGGATGCCTTTTTATTTTATCTTAAGACTTGGATCATCAATTTTTTGAATAGGCTCTTCAGAAAAATATATAGTCCAGCCGGATGATTATGTCTTTGCCTTCCCTAATGTAGTCGTTTAAATTCATCTTCATTACTAGTACCTTTTAATGAAATAGTAGAATCAAAATTAGAGAAGATAACATTTTTAAACCTGCTTATTTAAAAATTAGGTGTGATGGTCAGTGGCATACATGTACAAAGGCAGAAGCCTGGCAGCCTAGGCCCCCGAACAGTATATACTGCTGATCACATTCTTTGTGACTCAACAATTTTTGGAGTGAACTATTTATTTATTCATTCCAAAATTTGCAAATCAGTATGTAATTTCCACATTTGAAAAATTTGGAGATTGGGATGTTTTGGAACTGAGGGGTGCCATATTTTGGTTTTAATACTAGGATTGGTGATAAAGTATTACATAGAGCTCTAAATGTAGGGTCCTATGTCAAAATATTTCCAGCACAGATCCAGAAGCACTGTTTCATCTTTTTTCATGCTTTACAACTATGATATGTATGACACACTTTTTTTGTGAACTTGTAGATGGTAGTCTCAAACACTTAAGCATGCCTTTAAAGCATTTTTAGTCATTTCATATTGTATATACATAAATATCTAATATGTGATGGGTCACAAATATATGGAAATTAGAAGTTACTTTTCCTCTTAAAATCAGAAAAATAAATCTTGGCCATTATCCTAGTGAGACACATGTTCGTTTTTTCCAATATTTTTTGAATTATGGCACTTCAAAAATACTGAGGAAATACACACAGTAAACAACAATGTTTGCATTATTTTCAACCTAGAAGTTGAAATTGTGTACATTTTATCAGGTAAGCACAAAAACAAGTTGCCACTTTTTAAGTGTAAGATGATTAAAATGTATTAATTGAAACGTTTAACTGAAAAATTAAAAAAGTCGGGTTTTGGTCCTCCAAGCTGTAAGTTGTATATATGCTACTGGCCATGCTTACTGTGTATATGGTTGGGAGATATCCACATGTTTGTTCTATACTATGAAAAAAGAAGGTGCTGAAATATTACCTAAAACTTGAAAACTAGCACACCTCAGTTGGAGGTCTTGTAAGAAAGACAGCCTTTTCGTGACTTTTTGGTGGTGTAAAAGAAAATCAATTATTCTTGGATGTTTTAAGAGGGTCTTCATATCAGGATCGCCTTCTATTGCTTGCAACCTTGCCCTAACAGTTTCTGGAGACATCGAGAAGACACTCATTCCTTTTCTTATCAACTCATCTGGTATTTCAAACTCCTAAATTAATTTTCTTTATTTTACACATAAAATATAGATACAATAAAATAAATATATATAAACGTTTATAAGAAGCTGAAGTTGTTGAAATGATATATAGAGAAGAGAGAGGGAGAGAGAGGGAGAGAGAGAGAGGGAGAGAGAGAGATGGAGAGCAAGAGAGAGAGATGGATAGATAGAATTATAGGTAGATAGATAGAGAGATAGATAGATAGATAGAGCGAGAGAGAGAGAGAGATTCAGACTGAAGGAGATCAGTAACAGTGATAAGGCTCAAAAATGCATGTCTCAAATTTGCAAATTATGGTGCACTTGATGCTCACTGTTATTATTTATGTATCTATTCCATCTATTATCAACTTGGATTGTTTAATCTCATAACTTTGAAAAAAAGTTCATTTTACCTTCAAATCCCATAAATTTTGATTATGTTTCTAGGTGGCCTTGTCAGGAGTTTTGGATGATGTTTAATGGCTCTCTTCATATCTGCTCCAGCTAAGTTTGAAAAATCTTCCAAAATAGTTCTGGCATAGGTTGGATAGTTGTTCAACAGAAATCCATTTTTCAATATTTTGTCTGAATTAAAGCCCAGTTCCTCTGCTATGGCAATGTTTTCTTGGATTATTCGAAAACTTTTGTTTATGATCATCCTGTGCACAGTAAATAATTTCACTATATCATCTTCACCTGCATTCAATCGCCATTCTAGAAAAATCACATTTGGTTATTGATGTAGTGTGTTCGATATTTTAATTGAAATACCTACTTAAAAATGATTTGAGTATATTCATATGTACTATATTCCAGGGTGTATAATCATCATGTCTTTCATAAACCTTTTCAGCAATTTCTTTATTTTCTATATGCTCTACCAAACTTCGAGCTACATCAGTTTTATCCATAATTATGGCACATTTTTTCAAATTTAATACTTCTTTTTTCATAAAATGAATTGCTCTGAAACAAAGTATATGGATGAAAAGAGCCTTAGAAGTTGATTCAAAATTATGGCACTAATCATTCTCACCCATTCATTTCTTCCAATTATGTTTTGCAATCCACAATAGGGGAATGTGAAATCATGAAAATTAGAAAATCTATACCTTGCTAAAATGATGGGTTCAATGTTTGAGAACCCTCCTTCTTTCATAGCTAAATAGTGGTGTTCTACCGTCAGTGGATGCTGTGTCAGCAACATTGGACACCACAAAATGTCATCATTTTTGAATCCTATTGACTGACAATACTGAATGGATTTTATAAGTGACTGTGTTTCCTTATTCTTCAATCTTCTCTTTTCAACATAATACATCGCTTCTTGAATACTAATTCCTAGAATTAATTAAGTTATTAAAAAAGATATCGATAAGGAACGTTATAACTTTCAAGCACTTACCAAGTAGATCCGATATCACTTCATGATTAGCAATGTCGGTGGAATATCGCTTGATGTGTGATACTACTCGAAGATATCTACATTTCAGATTAAAATTGTTCAAAAACATATTGGAATAAAAAGATTTTTGAAAAAAGTATGGTTATAAACACATGGCTGTCAAAAAATCGATAACTGATTACGGAGGATACAGAGTGTATATTATGTTTTGTGGGATACTGGGCAGATACCGGGGGAAAGAGAGTGAAACTCTCTGAACACTGACCGAAAACGCTACACAGAATGGGATATATCTACTAAAGCCATAAATGTTAAACACAATGTTTTTATCTGAATTGTGTCTGAATCCCACCTTGATGGTTTACAGAAGCTAAGTGGAACCACATACGTATTACTGCTTATAACATTTATACTGAATGAATTCTTAGGGATAAACATGGGGAAAAGGTATTTTAATCCAGGCCATTTCACTTCTTTCACTTTAAGCTCTATGTCATAATATGATGAATTTGTTGAGGTTAGGTTTTGTTCAAGAAATTTTGTTGTATTTGTTTTTGAAGTGACTGACGAGTGATTGCACTTCTCCAGTGCTCCTCCATTCGGAATGTTTTTTTATTAGTATCAGCAGTTTCTGTTACTAAATTCTTCTCTTGAAGGCATAAGACCTCAAGTGCCGGATAAGAATTCGTAGGACATGGAAATTGATATGGAAAAAGATGATCCCGATAACTCGGAAAGGACCTGGCTAGGAGCGAGTCTGGCTGAGTTATATAAGGAAAAGGGTCATGGTGTTTCAGCATACCACCAGTAAATGCTTCCAAGTATCATACCGTATTGTACGAGTTACCCGCAACTTTGAAAGAGCCCCCAAAACCACACATCTCTCAGTCACAGCCAAGTGATGATGATTGTGTTCTAATGCCACATTCTGAGAAAAATCTATTTTCAACCAAAGAGGTATGCATATTGTAAATAAGGTGAATGTCACATGGGTTACTGGGCTGCCTTGGAATATTTTGTTTCTTATAATAAATGCAATAGTCACAGAAAAAGTGGTTAGGAATAGTAATTAATCAAATGATCATCAAGTGTCATTAAATGACTGCAATAATTTCGGTGTTCTTAAGTTTTACAGGAGTTCAAAGGTGCTTTCCAGTGCTTTTGAATTGAGAGTTGTATGCTTTGACGTTGACAATTTGTATCTCACTGCCAAACAATAAAAATGTAAACACATTTTGCTTTTTTATTTTCAGAAGATTGTCAGACCATCCAATTGATGCTTGATGATGGCGCAACATGTCAGAAGTCTGCATTTTTATTGTAAAGCTTCTGGATAAATGTGTCAAATTCATATTTTAGTGTTTAAAATTATTTTAGGTGTCTAGTTATAGATGAAGCCAACCACAAGATGCTATGAACCTGTATTCTTGCACTCTCTTGTGATCTTTATTATTCAGGAACATCTCAAATGTACGTGTGACTCTGGGTCATAACATTATCAGTTTTTTACCATCCTCTATTGTCTGGTATCAGTTTAATGTGATTTTAATGCAAAAACAAACCCAATGATATAACATAACCTACAACACCGAATAAAAAGCTGGTGCATGAGGGGGCAGGTGATTTCAAAAAGGAGTAGCTCAGGTGCATGATACTCTAGAGCAGTGGAATGTATTGACAGGTGGTGGTTACTTCTGAGTTACTCAGAGTAACCCAAACAAGGCACTGGAAAGCACCTCAGGGTAAAATTTCATCTGGCAAAATCCACATTCCATTACTGTATGATTTCACATTACCAAGTGATTTATAAATGCACTCCTGACCTGCTGGTACAGACCATAGTAAATCATCATCATATAACATTCATCTAACTGGTTTCCAATAAGATTTATTTATATCCTAGTAGCTTTTGTTATGCTTGTGGAAACTTGTCCAGTTATTGGAAAACATTCACATATTGTTGCCCTTGATATCGCAAATGTTCATCAAACCTTGTTATTGTTACTGCTTCTCTCTTAAACAAACCTCTAGCTTATGGACTGTTAAAAAGCTTGTGTAGATGAGTATCATATTTTTTAAACAATATAAAACGCTGTATTGTATGGTTTGTAGTGGATGAATGTTTCTCTTCTCCTCACAACAAGCAACAACTCTTATAATAATTGTTTTATTATTCAACTCTAATTTTTTTGTGACAGTCAGGACTGTTCACATGGTAAATTATAACATAATTTTGTTTTTAATTGGCTATGAAATGTTATCTTTTATTTACTGCAATATGAGAGAGAGTTGTATACTTGAGCCATGTATATGGTTTTACTAATGTGTGATTCAAACTTGAACCTATTATATGAGCATCACTAGATAAGGATTAATTATTGTGATCAAAGTGAAGTTCCTATAGCCAATTTAATTGATTCAGCTAAAGCATTATGATTATAAATAGCTATTTTTGTAAGCAGTTGTTGACTGCAAAAGCCTAACGTCGGCAGTAACGTAACATGATAACTTTAGCATTTTAGCCAAAACAGTTTGTACAATTCATAAATAAATATCATTATTTTTGAAATTATTATGTATTTTATTTTATTCCATAAAAAAAAGTTTTGAAATGGTGCGCAGCCGCCATCTTGAAACTTTGACGTATTACTTTTATGTTATGCATCAATTTCATCAGCCCAAATTACATCTCTCCAACTTGACCTGTTAAAAAAATGAGTACAGGAAGACCTTTCTGAATCTACAATTTAATTTTTAGGATGGTCAGACGGTTATAAAATTGAGATGGCACATTATAAATGAAATTTATTAAAACCAATTAAAAATAGTCAAGAACTGGAATCTGCTATAAACAGCTACTATACCAGTTCTTTACCAAAATTCACAGCCCTGCACTACTTTTTTGAACAGGTAAATATTTCTTTAATCAGCTCTTAGAAAAAGCTTCAGTACTTTGCCTGAGTAATTAAATACAATGTAGTGTATGAGCAATGACATAAATATCCAATTTGTCTTTTAAGTAATAAAATCAGTCAGGCAAATACATATGAAGACTTTTATTAGATTATTCAATCAGTGGCAACTCGTACGTAGAAGTTTCACACAACCACCTCACGTTCTTAGTTTGATCAATGGCTTTTAAACACATTTATCTACTAAAATTGAATAATTCATATCAGTGGACTGGAACGTGAAGTGATTGAATAAAGAATTAAACTTCATTCAGACTGTGAGTTGCACAATCACGAGTGGCCACTGTTCTTAGATTGTGTAAAATAATATCTTATGCAGGTTTTAGATCATCATGAAACCGACTCATTTTTTCAAGGCCTTCTACCAAAGATTATCAACTTAGCCTTACAACTTCCAGATTTATTACCTCAAAGCTTTCTCCTATTGAAGTCCAACCACAATAGATCTGTGAGTTTGTCTCAATTGCAAGTAGCTACCTTATTAGCCAATGCATTTCTGTGTACGTTTCCATGGAAAAAAGGAATGTCAACGTGTCCTGGGATAAATTTTATGAGATTATTTGCAGCTAGCCAGAGGCCTAAAAGAAAAGATTCTGTGATGGAGAAGTTAAGGTGTCTCATACATTATTTTAGAAGAGTTACAGAAAGATGTAAGTAGATCATGGGAATATAAACTCACTATTCAGATTTAAATGTCTCTACTTTCTTCAGTATGGGTTCCATGAGCAAGTCTTCAATGTCTAATTTATACGTCGTAAATTGGATCTATCACATATATGATCAGATAGAAATATAAATACCACTAAATGTTTAGTAAATGTCTCTAGGTCTGAAAAATATTCTATAAGCTTCCATTGGTGTATGGATCACTCCATACTTTTTGGGTATCATGCCTTAAGGGTGTCTAACAAGACGTTTTACTCAAAGCCCGACAATCTCAAACTGCAAATTTGTGATTTTCTAGGCCCTGTTGGTGTACTCACATTTGAACGACGATTTATACATAGAAGCACAATGCCTAGGTGGATATGCTAGATAATATAATAGGCAGAACGAAACTGCATGTAAATAGTGCTGGTACTATCGAAGATGATGGCATTGGTCTTTTACAAGTTGATTTTGCACACAAGTATGTATTATGCTTATTTCAATGACAAGACACTATCTTATGTAAATTAAATAGTGCTACAAATTCATTTTCTTAAGGCAATTTACATACACTAGTTTTGTTATGGTATTTTAAGCTAGAAACGACTGGTTAAAAACTCATTTTAGGCTAGTTGGAGGGGGAGTACTAGAGTATGGATGTGTCCAGGAAGAAATACGATTTGTAATATGTCCTGAACTTATTGTAAGTCGTATGTTTGTAGAAGCACTTGGAGACCAAGAGGCTGTGATAGTTACAGGTAAACAATGACGACATTCATCAAAAAGCATCGCTACTCTCGAGCGGCTTAACATTAAAATGTTTTTGCTGAATCACTTGTATTGTTTAATAACATGTTCTCTAAGAAGTTGCCCAACTCCATGCTGTGTTTTGACATTCCCCTGTTGCCGAGTAGAATCGGAATAATTCCTATACAGCGTTTGTCGGAAAGTAATAGGACTGAGTCGCTTTAGAAAAAAAATTATTGAGCCTATCGTTACAATTCTTTTAAAAACTTTCAAATAGGCTCCTTCGGGCGTCGATGCAGCGCTGCCAGGGCGATTTCCAAGGATTGAAGGCGTCACGGAAGGGTATTCTCCGGATTAGCCTTGAGAGCCGCGGTGCATGCTGCTTGGATCCCCTCTGTCGTCTCAAAATGCTTGCCTTTCATCGGCCTTTTCCAGGTGAGGAAACAAAAAAAAGTCCGGGGGGCCACATCTGGGCTGTATTGCGGGTGGCGGAGCGTTGGGATGCCGGCCTTGGTCAGGTAGCTGTTCACAAGAAAGGCGGGGTGAGCCGGGGCGTTTGTCGGGGTGCACTTCCAGTCGGCTGCGATGTCTTGTCGGACCCGACTGACCCTTCGTTTGAGTCTCCTGAGCACTACCACGTAAAATTTGGCGTGACGGTTTGTCCAGGAGGAACAAATTCATGGTGGAACGATGCCTTTGATGTCAAAAAAGACAATGAGCATCGTTTGCACTTTGGATTTGCTCATTCTTTCTTCCTTTTTTGGGCGAGGAGACGCTATCGTGTGGCCACTCGGAAGATTGCCCCTTGTCTCGGGACCATACTCAAAGATCCCGACTCGTCACCTGTGATTACGTTATTCAAAAATTGGGGTCACTTTCACACATGTTCAAATTTTCTTGGCACACTTCCACTCGCCGCAATTTCTGGTCGTCAGTGAGCACTTTTGGGACACACCTTCGCGCACACCTTGCTCATGTTCAATATGCTGTGTCACAATGTCATGGACCACAGATTTTGTTAAATTTAACATCTGGGCAATTAAGCGATACTTAGTGGACGGTCTGAGTTCAATACTTTGCGCACACGAGTCACATTATCGGTGATTGTCGAAGTCGAAGGTCTTCCAGCACGGTCTTCATCAGCGACCTCTTCCCGGCCCTCCAAAAAGGCCTGGTGCCACCGAAACATACCACTTCTTGCTAAAGCAACACCTGGGTAAGCCTGTTTGATCATATCAAACGTCTCTGTCGCATATTTACAGAGTTTCACACAGAATTTAATCGCGTACCTCTGCTCTAACGAACGCTGCATGTTCGGCTTGCACCACTCACAAAAATACGTCGCGCGAAAATGCCTGTCCTGACTCTCCAGGTGCTCGGAGACAACTGACCAGCCGTTCATTCGTTAGCTAGGAACGCCCTCTAACCGAATCCAGTCGGTGCGCGCCCCGCTCCGAAGTACAGTCATGGCGGAAGAAAATGAGTCCTATTACTTTCCGGACAACCCCTGTATAAGAATAGTATGATAGGTTGACACTGTACTTCCGACGCAATTTTGGACAATGAACTTTGTATATGCATTTAGCATAGTATTTGAGTCAACTTTCGTACGCTACGCTCTGGTATCTGTTGTTCGCCAGGTGTGAAAATCCGTGTGCCCTGACATAGCGCCGTCGAGTAGAATGAATATCAATGAAAAAATCAAATTATGTACTTTGAATACACATGATCTGAATCAACTTTCTTAAGTAAATTATGGACTGTGAATACCCACGATCTGAATCAACTTCCTTACGTTCTGATATGTTTAGTATTGGCGTCGGTGTACTCTTTTTTTACACAGCGTAAGCGCTCATACAGTCGCGTAAAAGGTTGCCTAAGCGTCGAATCGGTAAGGTGACTCCTCGCCGCTCAAGGTCCCAGCTGTAGGAGGGCGTACTAGTTTAAATGTCACCCCTGACACACTTTCCCCGCGTACCTATAAAAGCTGCCAAAATCAAAATATTATCTAACCCTGTTAAATGCATATCACATATCATCGTGTAACATAATGAATATGAAAACAAAATTAGCTATTTTTCTTAGTTGATACTGAAAACCCAAATACCGTATATTCACCCACATGCCCGTTTTACCTTCATACATACGGGTCTTTCAATTGAATTGGGTATCTTCTGATGGAATATGAAAATTGATGTTTTCGCGAATACTCTTTGGTGCCAAGAACAAATCTCATAGTCCTATTCTAGGCCCTGAACGGTTCAGTAAATATAATGGATATGGTCAGGAGTTTAAATGGGATGGTAACTTTGTGGATGAAACTCCCCATGATGAGTATGGTCGGAGAAGAACGTCTGTATGTATGATAGATGCCATACATTTTAAGAAGTCGAAAGACCAGTTTTATCCGTCGGCTATGTTGAGAGAATTAAAATAAGGTCAGTAGCTCGGTATAGAATTAGTCAAACATAACATTTATTTTTGATGATAGGAGTTGTGGATGTTTTTCAGGCCTACGTGGGTTTTTCGTCAAGCATGAAAGGAAACTTGTCTCCAGTAGCTACTGGAAATTGGGGTTGTGGCGTCTACCGAGGCCTATCAACGTTGAAGTCCCTCTTACAGTTAATAGCATGTAATGCTGCTGAACGTGATATGGTGTATTATACTTTTGGAAATAGAGAGCTGAGAGATGATTTATACAATATGTACCTATTTATTTCGAAGAATAACATCACAATCTGTAAGTCATACCTGTATATATACAGGATGTTCCCTACTGAACATAGTGAAATTGTAGGTAGTATTACAGAGACCTTTTCATATCTGTATATAAAAAAGGTCCAAATTCGTTATTTACGAATATACAGTTTGATTTATCTAAACACTAAATCGTCAATATCACGTATCTCAGTCACTATCGACCCGATTTTGTTGAAATTTTGCTCGACAGTAAAGTTACCTAGGAGTAACGTAAAACTAGACAGACGATTGAAAAATCATGTCTTAGTTTTTTAAACATTCTATTTATTCAAATATCTTATTTTCAGCAGTTCATGCGACACAAAACTCAAAATTTCAAGGGTTATTAACTTGCTTTCATCAATATTTTACAAAATAATGTTCAAAATTAAACTAAAGATTCAGTTTTTTTATTGTCTTGTATTTTTATTAAGTACAACATCCTGTAAGTTATACTATGAATTTATTATTTTGCAGAAAAAGAGCCATACGTGGTATAAATAATGCCGAAAAATTAATGTTATGCACCCTGTTTGGTTTTTTCTGTAATGTCTGGATGATTTCATTCACACAACATTGTACATTATTGTACAACATGAGTTCTGCTTAAAACGGAAACGGCATTAAATGTGCGATTCCACTAAATTTGACCTTCCCTAAAGTAGGACTCATGTTGTTGTATATCAGTTAGCAATTAAATTCTTAAAAAAATGCCGATAGAATTAAATAGGGCACATAACATTAATTTTCCTTTTTATTTATATCATATATCATGTGGTGTTCCTTTTTCTGCGAAATGTCCATAAATTCATAGTGTAACTTATAGGGTGTGCACTTTATAAAATACAACGAAATAAAAAAAATGATGTGAACAGAGTATTTTTTTGAGGGGAGGACTTCCAGCAATACCTACTGCAAAACAGCTACAAACAAAGCAGGAGGAGTGTATGGTGGTTCTCCACAATGTCTCCCACGCTGAATATAAAAATCTTATGAGAAAATGGAAGAGGTAGCACCCACACCAAAACAACTAAACGTAAGGTACTATATGAAGGGATACTACACCACATACCTACACCTAATATCCACGAATCTGACGATTAAGCAAATCGCGCTCACACCACAATCTGAGGAGGAAAGTGACTGAAACACCTAACTATAAAGGAATGTTCAATGAGTGGGCTTGATAGGGAACCAAATAACGTAGAAAAACTACAGAGTTTTTTTTAAAACTACTGAATCGCTGAGAAAGAAATATATAATACGTATGAAATAAACTATGAAATTTACCAAAAGAAAACCAATGAAAAGGGTTTGGCCTAGGAATGGGCACTCGACCAATAATAAAGAGGAATTCAAATTAGTAAGTGATTAAAATAGTAAAAAAAGGTTACGTGATTTTGTTACGTGACACCGACTCTGGAATTTTGTGAACCCAAATCATCTTTAGTTCAATTTTAAGCATCATATTGTATAATGTTTATGAAACCAAGCTGATAACCATTGAAATGTTGAGCTTTGTGTCGTATAATGTTGAAAATAAGTTACTTGGATGAATAAAAAAAATAACTAAAGACCATGATCAATATTTTGCTAATTTATTGGCATTCATTGGCTTTTTTTGCATTTAGCCGTACATTTCAATATTGAGCTTAAAAGGAATAAATTTTGATAAAACACAAGAAAGTGAAAAAATCGAATCCGGCACTGGATTTTTATCGGTCCTCTATAGTTTTACGTTTCTCCTAGGCAACTTTGTTATCGTGTGAAATTTTGACAAAATCGGTTGAATAGTGCCTAAGATATGTGATTAAACATTTGGCGGGCTAAGATGAATCACCATATATATCTGTAAACAATTTACTACGTCTTTATTTCAAATATGAGAAGGTCTGGTCCACACTACCTACCACTTCACTATGTCCATTCAAGTATGGAACACCCTGTATACGTAGAAATTATGTAGTTTGTTAGAAAGTCTTGGAACCCACCGTCAGCGGGAGGCAATGTCAATGTCTGCAGCATTCGTATCTAAAATAACCTATTGAAAAATGTATACGACAGCTCCTTAACGCGGTGCCTAACTGCGACGTCTCCAAACCGACGCCAGTTCAGGAAACTACCGACACTGGTGATATCGTCATGGCGTCCCGGTGAGACAGGGCTCTTTGTGAAACCTGTCGATCATTATCTACTGCACACGAAAGTGTCATCTATCAACATTTTCATTTACAATCGCTCCAGTGGGTGTTCTCGCACTCGAGATGAGTCGCACAAATATATTGACAGGTTTAGGAAAATGATGTTCTTCAGATTTTTTAACTGCCTAAGGTTAGTTGAACTGTCAAAAGCCTCCTCATGTAGATTGTTCCACAATCTCGATATCCTTGGGACAAACGAGCGGTCGTATGGGCTAGTGCTGGATATATGAGTTCTACATGGTTATGATGGGAGGCTGAAGCCAGACGGCTTTGTCTGGTATGCACATCACGCGGCGGCATCATGAAGGAGAGCTCTGGGGAGCAAAGTCCATTGGCGTAACGGTAGAAGAGAGCTAGATCGTCGACAGCTCGCCAGTGAGAAAGAGTCCCGTGACTGTCCGTTAGAGAACAGTCATCCACCAGTCGGACAACCCTCGTCTGAACAGCATCGAGCATGGATAATGTAGACGGGACGGCAAAACTCCAAAGATGTAAGCAATACTCGAGGTTAGGTATTATCTTGGCTTTGTACAGAGTGAGGAGGTCACTTGGAGAAAAGTACTTCTCAGCCCTGAACAAGTGACCTAGCTTTTTCCTGCAGCTGCCGCTATTGACGAGATGTGTTCATGCCAGATCAAGTCGTCGGTGCAATGGAGTCCGACCAGCCGAAATTAAGGGCTCTTTGGTAGGAATCCATTGAAACCGGATGAACGCTAGGACGCTTCTTGTTCGTCAAGGTACAATACTGTGTTTTGAAAGCATTAAACGGTGACGAAACAGGAAGAAAAATATGCATTATATCTTTGTAATTCTTGACATCGTTTGTAACTTTATGAGTTTCCTGCGACGTTAACAAATCGACATTCGAGAACACCTCTCTTGGACGCCAAATATGACCAAACCAAAATGTTCGTGACTTTTCGAAGTGCTGCTTAATAGTATTACACGAAGTTATTCCACCGACTCATTCCACGTTATCCCTTATTTTGTCACAACAGTAAGTCAGTGGGTACTATCAGATCCCTTGTGTTAATGCCAATGCGCTTAAAAGGGAGATGTTAGTCTATGATTTTGCAGCTTTTAAACATTTTGGCATTATACGAGGTGTGGCAGAGAAGTAAAGAGACTGATTTTTTATTTAGCAAAGTGTGTATTTTATCAAACATCAATATTATTCCCTTAAAAAAGCGTTGCACTAAGCGATGGAAGGTGACTGACACTCGTGCACTATGAAGGACAACAGCGAAGTGTTGCAAGATTGCTTGCAGTGTTGCCAGTCTCAGTACTTTTCTGCTACACCTCGTATGTTAAGGTCTAAATGTTAAGAATGCTCTATTTATTTTTAGCTGAATTATGGCGAATCCTTTGCAAATTTTCATCCTCAAATGTGCCTGAGCGAAACTTATATTCCTTCATACAACAGGCATATTTTGATAGTAAAAAACAGCCTGATTCGAAAAAATCTGTTGGTGAAAAAATTGAGCAACCATCAACATCAAGAGAAAGCAGTAGTAGAGAAATACAACCACCTCAGCCATCACTGACCACAAATACTAGTGGTTCAAGTAAAAGTGGCACTGATATAAGGGATTTTTTCGGACCCGGCAAGGAAAAACAACCATCTTCAAATACTGCAAAAAGTGAAGACGGCCCAAAAAATGTCGAGACAAGCAGGGTAACTGAAGAGACTTGTGATTTTGAAGAGGATATCATTGAGGGTACACCCCCAACTACTGTGACAGACTTTAAATACAAAAAGAAAACGAAAATAAAGGCAAAATTCACTGAGGAAGAAATTGTTCAGAAATTGCCAAAGACAGATATAGCCTTACTAATGGATGATTTGGAAGGCGTCTCCAAACCATCAAATGAAAAATCACAACCAGATTCTCTCTTAACGCAGATTGATAAGATGCCGAGAAAGACGAAAGTATTGAAAGTGGAGGATCAAACACTTGTTGCTAGTGCCTTTACTATTGATGAAGAAATGGATGTTGATTTCGCAGAAATGTCGACAAGCAAAGAGGAGAACAAAACACCGAAACGTAAAATTTCAGATTATTTTAATATCAAATCCAAAAATAACTGATTGTAATTTATTTTGCTAATCTGTAATGTTAATAAAAAACTTAATTCCTATAAGGGCTGTGTGTTTTTGTATGCCAAATTGCGGAGCGTTTAATTTTGATACAATCATCTTATGTGAATTTACAATGCAATTGTTTCACACGACGGTCACCTACATTGTACTTTGAAAAAGCCACCGCACTAGCCAAAACGTTAGTAAAATCTACGTGCACGGCCTTATTGAATGGCTGACAAGAAGTTAAGGTGGGGAAGCTAATTTTGCTTTGTCATATAAAAGTATGCTCGGTACTATCGACCTAACAACTTATATGCAATATTTTGGAATTATATTTTGTCATGTCTAAAAATGGTGCCAAGCAGGTTGACTCTGTACTTCTCAGAAATTCTGTTAACAGTTAGATGATGATCTGTTTATTTAAAAATCATATGTGTCAAGAGGGTCATCACAGTGGTGAGGCAGCGAACCCGGTATATCGACGAGCGATGCGGGCTGGTGTGGCGATTCGGTGAAGCGGGCTGAACATCATGATCGAGCTCGAGCGGTCAAATGGACTACTAGAGACATGTTGATCAGTAGTGCGATTTAAACTTACCAGTATTTTAACATATGCATGACTAAGAGATGGATAAAAAATTATCGAGATCAGAAGCTTCCTAATAATAGAACGTCTTTCACTGATACCAAAGATGCAACATACATAATGAAAATTTGTGACACCTGTTTCGGTGATTACTATACACTGAGAACCAAATACCTCTGACGTTGTACGTGTGTAGGAAGAGATAGAAGTTGCCGGGCAACCCGAGTACGACGTCAAGGATGCCATCGGCGCACTCTTACAGACATACTACACACGCTTCTCGCGCTTATCTCAAGAACACACTGAGCCGTCTGCCAAATTTGAATACATACTTTGAAAACGCTAGTGTCTCATAAATGGCGCTGTAGCCAATTATGCAGAGTAAATAGAGAAAGAGCTGTGGCAGATTTTCATAGATGACGCTACGGTACCTCATCTCGGTAATGTTTGGGACTCGGGAATATAGCGTTACGATGCTATCTTCTAGTAGAATAAGTTGATCAATTGTAAAACAATATCCAATCTTTTTTTTGTGATTACAACAGTTCGTCGCTAATTGGCGTGGAAAGTAAAAATATGGAAGGTTGTCCGACGTTAAATTTCAAAATGTACACAAAGTATCGATCCTCTGTGCACATCTCTATTACATACATAACCTTATCTCGCAGATGTGTCAACGTGAAAACGAAAACACTTTCCAATTTTTCTGAATTTTGTACAAGTTGAAGCAAAATAATACGCTCCAAACAAACGAAAACTATGGCTGTAATCACACTAAAATTAGGAAAATTGATAACCAAAATTATACTCGGATACATCCAAAGTTATCCCAGGTATTTTTAATACTTCATTTTGTGCTTGTTGCTTGATTTAAAGAAACAAATCTATTTTTTTAGATTGTAAGGCCTTCCAGTTACCAAAGCTCGCAGTTCCTAGAAGACCTAAGGGATGTAAAAGTAAAATATGAAGTTACAAAAGATCCAGTTGACTGGTCATTTGTTGAAAGAGCCTTACCCCCAACAGTTGTGCCTGAGCCAGTAAAAAAAGACAAATATCCCTCTGGATGGAGACCTCAGGCTGACAATCTGAAAGATAGACATTACTTTATTGAGAGAACAAAAAACCACATGATACCAGTATATCTTGAACTGGAGCGAAGAAATACAAAGAAAACCACAGTTATTAGGAAAATCCAAGGAGATGTGTTCAAACTGGAAAAGGATTTGGTTGCCTTTTTGCAGAAGGAGTCATTTTATCCTATACGTAGCCAGGTTAATGAATTTGCAGGAATTATAAAGATAGGAGGAGACTTTGTGAATGCAGTAAAATATTTTCTAGAGAAAAGACAGTTTTGAGTTTGTTTATATTGTTTAGCTAGTGTGTATATTGTATCAATAAAACTTGTATAAAACTCCTATAGTAGTCAATTTTTGTATTTCAATCTACAATGATTCCAAATATTGTTTACTGACCATTGAAAATATATAAACAAGGTTTTCACATGCCCAGACAGAAACCTGGGAATCAGATATTTTTTTAAATACCTGAATACGCAGGCATTTTCAGATGTAAATAACACTTCATATTATCCATCAGTTTGATGCATTCAAATATATATTAACACATGAAAAAATAAACTTCTTAACAAAATAATAGAAACACAATAATGTCTTTGTTGTATTTCTTAAAAAATTATGCATAATATACAGCATCTTAATGAACATGATAAGAAATAAACTTTATAGCAAAACAAGAACATGAATTAACATGTAAAAGAACTTGGAAAAAGGCTTAAAGTTATTCATTTTAAAGCATAGGATAATTTGAGACAATCCTGGAGGTCAATGAAAGTTACCTTTAATTTATCGGATTTACTATTGAAGTACAATTGCAAAAATACCATTGCCAGACGTAAACTCACTCCACTCTCGGATGTCCGGGTGGAGGGTGGGCTCGAGGGAACAACATCGACGATAAAATTTGTTTTTCGAACATCTGCGGGATCAACAGCAACATTTGCTGTTCATCACTACCTGCAATCCAATCGTCCCGCCGTGCTTTTCTTGGCGGAGACAAAAATCTCAGAGACTGCACCGATTAACCATCTCAACTTCCCAAACTACGAGGTGCACTCCAATCCGAGAAAGAACGGGGGAGTTGTGGCTTTTGTCCGCAGCAGTCTTTCCTGCTCCAGGGATCATTCTTTGGAATCAGACCGGAAGGACATTCTGTGGCTTCGCCTCGACTCCAAAACATCACCCAAATTTATTTGCTGCCTTTATCGCTCTCCCTCGAACCATAACTGGGATGACCTACTCGAATACCTCGCCGTCCAGATCGACTTCCTGAACATCAATCACCCCGCTTCAGAGGTAGTTCTTCTCGGTGATTTCAATGCCCATAATGAGCTTTGGTTGGGCTCAAATAAGACCGATGCAGCAGGTCGTGCAGTCGAAGCGTTCGCTCTTACTCAAGGGCTGACCCAGCTGGTGGCGAGCCCTACTTTTTTCCCCCGCGTCTCGTCACACGCCAGTAGCCTGCTGGATCTCTTTCTGACCACATATCCTGTCCCTTACAGCACTGCTGTCCTGTCCCCCCTGGGTAACTCAGATCACGGTGTTGTGGAGGTTAGGTTTCGGTCAGAAGCCGCTGTGGCAGCAGAAACCCGTACAGGCCGCAAAACTTGGCATTACGGACATGCCGACTGGGGGGGGCTCAGAGACTTCTTCTCTAGCTTTCCTGCTTGGAGAGATGTCTGTTTCACTGACGCGGATGCGTCGACTGTCTGTTCTTCGATAACCGAAATTATCCACGTCGGAATGGAGGAATACATCCCTCACACAGTGAAAGTTCCTAAACCAAGGTCCAATGGCTGGTTCAACAAATCGTGTGACACTGCTCGCCAGCAGATCAAGGCACACAGAACCTACTTACAAAACCCCACTGTAGAGAACAGACAAGCCGACGTCGAGTCCAGAAACAAATATAACGAAGCGGTTCGCAATGCCAAAAACCAGCATGATATAAAAGTTAGGCACAGGGTAATGTCGCAGCGCAATGGCAGCCCGTCTTTCTGGACGCTGGCCAAGCAGATTGAAAAGAACTTCTCACACAGTAGCCTTCCACCACTTACGTGTCAGGATGGAACTATTATATTCGAGTCAAAGGCCAAGGCGGAAGTGCTAGCCAAGATCTTTGCTGCCAACTCCACCATGGACGTCCCCACCAACGCCCAAGTGCCGTCAATTCAAAGGGTTCCCCACACTATGCGGGAGGTAACATTCAGGCATAAGACCGTAAGACGAGTGCTCTTGTCGCTCGACATCAACAAAGCTTCTGGTCCGGACTTGATTCCTGCCATTGTACTGAAGAGATGTGCAGCGGAGCTTGCTCCAGTTCTTTCGCGTCTCTTCCAGATATCTTATGAATCCGGCACCTTCCCAGAAAACTGGAAATTTGCTCATGTACAGACCATCCCAAAAAAAGGATCTAAGACCGACGTGATGGAGAGGTGCATAAATCGCGACCTTCTGGACTACCTCGAACGTCATGGCTTGATTAGCGACAGGCAGTACGGTTTCCGGCACCAACGATCCACAGGGGACCTCCTAGCTTACGTCACGCAACTGTGGAGTAAACTCATCCAGTCTCATGGTGAGGCTCATGTCGTTGCTCTTGACATCACGAAAGCGTTCGATCAGCTGTGGCACGCTGCCCTCTTAAGCAAACTTCCATCCTATGGCTTCCCAGAAAAGCTTTGCAGATGGGTAGCTGACTTTATCTCTGGCCGCAAGATATCCGTCGTAATTGACGGATTATCCTCTTCATCCCACAACGTCAACGCGGGTGTTCCCCAGGGATCGGTCTTGGCTCCAACACTGTTTCTCTTACATATCAACGACCTCCTTTCCTGCACGATCAACCCAATCCACAGCTTCGCTGATGACAGCACTCTACATGCAGGAATTCAGAGTGACAAGCCGATCTCTGCCGCTGAGCTGGAAAAAAGAAGACTAGCGACGACTTCTTCTCTGACAAGAGACCTGGAGGCTATCACTGCTTGGGGACGCAACAATCTTGTACAGTTCAATGCTTCCAAAACACAGTACTGTACTTTGACGAACAAAAAGCGTCCTAGCGCTCATTCAGTTTCGATGGACGGCCGAGTTCTACCAAAGAGCCATTCATTTCGGCTGGTCGGAGTCCAGATCACCGAGGACCTGATCTGGCACGAACACATCTCTTCAATAGCTGCAGCTGCTGGAAAAAAGCTATGCTATTTGCTTAGGGCTAAGAAGTACTTTTCTCCGCATGACCTTCTCACTCTATACAAGGCCCAGATAAGGCCTAGCCTCGAGTATTGCTCACACATTTGGGGTGCTGCCGCCCCGACTACATTGTCCATGCTCGATGCTGTCCAGAGGAGGGCGGTCCGACTGATCGATGACTCTTCTCTAACAAACAGTCTCGGGTCTCTTTCGCACCGGCGGGCCGTCGGCGATCTAGCTCTTTTCTATCGCTACACCAACGGGCTTTCCTCCTCAGAGCTCTCTTCCATGATGCCGCCTCGCGATGTGCCTGCTAGACAGACCCGCCTGACTTCGGCGTCCCATCCTAACCGTGTCAAACTTCGTACATCCAGAACTGGCCGATACGACCGCTCCTTTGTCCGAGGGTGTCTAAATTGTGAAACAATTTACAAGAGGAAGCTTTTCCCAGTTCTACTAACCTTAGGCATTTCAAAAATCGTATTAACAAAATTTCTTTGGGATCATCATAGCATAGCAAAAAAAGAGATCCATATACCACTGACGTAATGCGTACGAGAGAAAAGTGTGCAATACGTATGTTTGAAAGAGGAAAGAGATAGATGCACTCACCACGTTGGTAAGCTACACGAGTGCTGGCGCCACGGACGCAGCTGCCACTTGCTGCGTCGCCATCGGCGCACTCGTTCTAACATTCGTATTGCACGATTCTCTTTTGTACACATTACGACGTCAGTGGTATATATGGATTTCCCTGTATAGGATATCTATATCTGAAACAAGAATTTACAACAGGATAATCATCGGTATCCTAATTATCGTGAAAAAATTGATAACTGATTAAAAATGTAAACAAATAGTGAAACATGAGAAAAACAAAAAAAAATTCTGATTTGGTTTTACTGCCTAATCTTATTCAAAATGACCTCTCTTAACGAATATGATTGTTGCCAGCCACAAAATTGCGTGAAAAATTGATGGAACATTTTTGTCAACAAATTGTTCCGTCGCACTGCACAGTTCTTGTGTTTTTTGGGACATTCTCAACAACAACAAAAAGGATGAACTTTTCTCTGAGGCACCAGTAGTTTATTATGCTAAGAATAAAATTTCCTATTTTTTATTGATGCCCGGGTTTTTCGTCAAGTAACACCATGGTCTGAAAACGTTTGGATCCCCGAGTATAATACCTGAGGGTACTCGGAACGAAAACCTTAATGTAAATTAATATTAGTGTGCAAAATGGTACTATTGAATAGATGAGCGCCCGCAGGTTGGACCTTGCAATTGCATATTTAGCATGGCTTTTTTACAATTTTGAGAATATTGAGGATTTTGTTTACAAAAAGTTGTACTTTGTGGATGATCCCCGCCGAAAAAATTCCTGTATACACCACCGCATTGTGTACTTATTTGCTATCCCTCGTAATACTAATAGTGATGTTGAAACCACAAAACACTTGGCTTAAACTTGTGGATGTATCGATTAATGCATGTGTATAATCAAATCCAAGCGAATAACCAAAATTTCTGTGTTATGTGCTGCGGTTATAATATGGTTCAAGATGACACACGGGTTGATGACGTCAGTTACACGAATCGCTTGAACGCGTTGGTTTTAACCGCGGTTTTGTTGCAAATTGTTTATTTTAGAAAAGCGCGTATATAATCTCTGATTATTTTTATTATCACTTAATAATCGGTGCTTTTTCGTCTACAACTGTATATGGAAAGTTTAAATAAGAAACCTTTCATAATATTCATGAGAGAAATGTTTTTTGCAGATTTTTTTTTAATGATGGAACCATGGCTTTGTAGCTATGATAACTTTCAATTCTCTAAATTTTTCCGCATGTCAAAGAAAACATTTATTGATTCAGCAGAAATGATGAAAAAAGAAATTAGCAAAACCGTATACAGGTGGATATCATCTAGTGAGTTTATATGGCCATATTTTAATATTCTTGTGGTATATGGCTACACAGGATACTTTGTTAAGCATAGGAACTACATTTAAAGTGTCCCCAACAACCGAAATGAGTATAACTAATAAGGTGCTCCACTTTATGGTAAAACTGAAGTCAGCC